AGCTGCCCTCCCCCCCCCCCCCCCCCGCCACGGGGTGATTTCTCACTTTCTCTCTGTTTCTCTCTGTCTTTCTGCAAGTGCACATGTTTTATAACAAAAACCTCTCCAAAAAATAGAAAAGTCTATCTCAGACTACGTTTCATAAACTTCATGAATAAGGCTGCAGATAATGTAGTTTTAATGTTTGCAACTGTGTGGGATGCAGTAGTTTCGTCAAATGGAAGTTTCGACCACCATCCTGTAGAAAGGCCAGGAGTTTCAGATGAAGTGAAATCTAGGCTGGAAGCTGGAAAAGATGGAAAGAAAACCTCTAACTGCCCTGGAAGCTGAGGATGCTTTACTCAAGAGGAAGTTCTTCTAAGTTGAGGCTACATTATTTTCTAATGTAAACTCTCAAAATGAAATATCATCTTTTCTTGTTGTTTAAACAATTCCAGCTCTCACAGGAAGATTTTTCAGTATGACATAGGAAGAGTTAATGGCATTCCCTGAGTTGACATGATCCGTGTGCTATTACCTTGTCCTTTTCTTCTGATTTCTAAATATTAAGTCACATTTGTATCTATGAATGATGCAAATCCACATTATCCAACAGATTAATGTTGTCACTCTACTATTTGTACAGCTTCCATATCCATCCAAGGATATGCTCATATAAAATACTAAGTCATGGTCAGAGTCCACTCGCGGATTACAAGGCATTTATGTAGATGATGCTGACACTGATGACAATGACAGTGAGGGTGAAAAACTGAATCAGTATCATATGGATGTTTCATATAGTAAAGATAGGCTTTTGGTATACAATACTCGTAATGGTGGTTTAGAAAATAATACTTGGGGTCCAGGTGTGGTGGTGCAAATGGGAGGACACTTCTTTAGGCTGGCTGAGACCATGTGGAAAGCTCAACTTTTATTTCTGGCCCCACCTAAACAAACTGGGAAGAATGACACATGACTGAGATCCTAACTAGCTGAGATCGAACCATCGAGACATGAAGACTCAGTCAAAAATACCACTAATTCTCTCTCTCTCTTTATCCCTCTCTCTTTTGCATTAAGAAAATAAGTGTTTGTCACATAGAAGGTATTTGACGATAATTTTTTTTTTTGAACAGGTTTTTGCTATAGGGTCTGGGCACTCACCAGAGAGACACAGAGAGACAGAAAGTGAGAAATTGCCACTCAGGGGGGATGGCCATGCCATAATCCCTTCTCTTCCATTCTCCTCTTGGGATCTTGAGCACTCATGCACACGTGCCTGGCATGAGTTTAAGCCACCGGGTCCGGGACTTGAACTGCATTTGACTACATGGGAGTCCAGAGACATAGCCGTTATGCCAACTGCTGTTCCCGGTATTTGACAATAATTAAATCAATAAATAACAGGTAATGGACATGGTGAGAATAGTGGTGGTGGCCAATCCCATGAAGGAGATGGTCAAAGCAGAAGTGATGGTGCTGCTCATCTTTCTCATACCAGGTAAATGTTTGTTGTGGGAAACTGATGTACGACTCCTCTCAGGGCATGTGACTGACCTTATTAAAGTGGAGTAAATGTGAGATGATTGAGAAGTCTATCTACAAAGCAATTTTTCAGAAGACAAAACTCACTCTGGGGTGCTGGGGTGCTCAAGGTGTTTTCTCTAGATATGCATGAAGACATGCACATTGAGTTGTTTCTTCTGTTGGAAAACCATACAGGATCTGAAAAACTTTAAATCGCCCCAAGGAGGCAGTGTCCCTGCTACTGGATTCGAGTGCAACAGTGAGAGATGTGGTAGAGTCTGACAGTGGCACAGCAGTGAAACATGATGCTCTGAGAAGCTGATCCACAGCGGAGGGTTTGAGTTCTTACCAGTAGATCTCTCTGGGTATGAGAGACATGTGTGTATCCATGATCTCAGGCTGACTAAAACCGGGAGGGGGGCTTGGGAGAAGGGAAGTGGTTTGTGGCATCCAGTCCCTGTTAGGTTAGCACTGCTGTCTTTCTTTCTCTGTCTCTGTCACTCACAGAACAAATATAAATTAAACCAAAACAAAAACAACTGCTCTCTTGGGGAAAAAAAAAATAAAATAAAGAAGGTTGCAGAGTTGAGACAAGTCATTAGAGAAATGGAGCCTGTCTGTTTCCCTTTCCTGTACCCCACTTCTTGCCCCAGGGGAACCTTGACTGAGTGCTGGTTACACTTAGCAACTCTAGGGAACACTCAGCAGGGAGCCCTGGGAGGCCAGCATTTTCAGGGACATGAACTATAACTAGAGGAGTGTCTTGGGGTAGAAAGGATGCCAAGGAGAAGGCTACAAGTTCTATTATCATCAGGTAATGAGCAGGGGTAGAGTGCTAAGGCAGAGATGAGAGTAGTGTGAGAAGACAGCCAAGCAAGGCTTGCCATTTCCTGGGTGAGGCTTTGGGGTTTGAGCGGAGTATTCAAAGGACAATGGTACTGATGTCTGTCAAAACTCATCACCATTTTTCAGTACCTTCAGGGAGCCCTGAATTATCTAAGTTAAAGAGTCTAAGAAAAGATTGGTTTAAACCTTTTTTTTTTCTCCCCTTAATTTTAGAGAAGAGGAAGCTGAGGTTACTTGAGAAATTGTTTCAGCCCAATATGAATTGTGAGTTAGTGGCAGAGTGAGTTCACATGGCAAGTCCCTAACTTCTGAGAAAGCTCTTCTTTTTATTTGTAATACTGCAAGACTTTCTGCTTGTGGGTTCTGACCTTATGATTTTCCTCATGACATATTCTTAGCATACGTCTTTGGGGATTATCTTTTAAAAAGCAGTGTATCCATGGGGTGAACTATCATTAGGCATTCCAGATCTGAGCTTGTACAGTGTTGCCAGAGCTTCCACTTTTTTTTATTAACTTATTTTATTTTATTTTATATATTCAAACGCTATACAACACTTGGCTTATAAAGTGAATTTTCCAACATTTCATTTTTTTTTCCAGTTTTTCATCCAGTACTTTCCAGAATACTCTATGAACTCTGGAGAAGCTTCCTGTAAGAGGTCTCAAAAGTCATTTTGAGGAGATGATTTTTCTTTCTTCTCTGTCACCCTATAATGCTGATTATTTTTATCTTTAGAAATTATGAAACAAATTATTAAACTGGCTTTGGTTTCTAGTTCCAGCTTTTTAACCAACAGTTTCCATATGAGACCAACCACTTCTGCCTTTAGGTCTGTACTTCTTCTACTGCAAAATGAGGAACATTGATTAATGTCTAAGCTCTGTTTAGGTACTCATATTTATGTCCTTGATACTAGAAACATTTTCTGAGTAGAAAAAGAAGCCTTAAGCAGTTTAAAGGTCTATTTTCTTTTCTCGTTTCTAGGATTCATGGATCATATCAATCACACCTGGACCCAGAGTTTTACCCTTGCTGGTTTCACTACCACTGGAAACCTGCAACCCCTTGTCTTCTTCGGTGCCCTGTGCATCTATCTCCTCACCCTTGCTGGGAACTTATTCATCATCCTCCTGGTTCACGCAGATTCAGGACTGTCCACACCCATGTACTTCTTCATCAGTGTCCTCTCTTTTCTGGAGCTCTGGTACGTCAGCACCACGGTGCCCACACTGCTGCAGACCTTGCTCCATGGGTGTTCACAGATTTCATCGGTCATGTGCTTTTTTCAGCTCTATGTCTTCCACTCCTTGGGCATGACTGAGTGCTACCTGCTGGGTGTCATGGCGCTGGACCGCTATCTTGCCATCTGCTGCCCACTCCGCTATCATGCACTCATGAGCAGACAGGTGCAATTGTGGCTAGCTGGGGCCACTTGGTTGGCTGGTTTCTCAGCTGCACTGGTGCCAGCTAGCCTCACAGCAACTCTGCCCTTCTGCTTTAAGGAAGTGGCTCATTATTTTTGTGATCTGGCACCTCTGATGCAGTTGGCATGTGTGGACACAGGCTGGCATGCTCAGGTCCATGGGGCAGTGATTGGTGTGGCCACAGGGTGCAACTTTGTGCTCATTTTGGGGCTCTATGCAGGTATCCTGAAAGCTGTGTTGAAGCTGCCCTCAGCTGCCAGCCGTGCCAAGGCCTTTTCCACCTGTTCCTCCCACGTGACTGTAGTGACACTGTTCTATGCTTCTGCCTTCACAGTATATGTAGGCTCACCTGGGAGTCGACAGGAGGGCATAGACAAGCTGATTGCCTTGGTATACGCCCTATTCACACCTTTCCTCAATCCCATCATCTATACCCTTCGCAACAAAGAAGTGAAGGAGGCTGTGAAGAGGGTCACTGATAAGATCAGAAATCTTTTGAGGAAATCTTGATTTCTTTTTGTCATAACTCAGAATCTTGATAACCGTGAGAATCAGCTGGTTGGTTAGCCAGTCAGCCAGCCAGAGTCAAAGTAAACATGAATGAAAGAATTAAGAGATCATTAGTCAAGCATGGGCAAACATCCGCTCCTGTACTGACCGCAGTTGGAATATGTATAGTGAAAGGTGAGATAGTGTCTGTCTTCATCTGAATCTCATGGGGAAGACATATCACAAAGAAGGAAAAACAGGGTCACAGAATAGCCACATTTAAAAAGCTAAACTTGTGACTTAGCCCAATACTGAAGGGAAGAACACAGAGTAAGGCTAGGAAGGGCACCTTTAGTCAAGACTCCTAGAAAAAGGTTAAGAAGGTGGAAAACAGGGTTGGCAGAAAAGGAAACCAAGTTATAGCTTGTGTAAAGTTCCAGATGTGGAACGGTGAGTCACGGGCCGAAAGCTTACCTATTGGTGGAATCCAGTATCATGATTATCATGTGACCAAAGGTAACTTAAAGGAGAAAAGAACTTTCCGGGTGGGAGATTGGAAGCTAGCGATGATACCTTCCTCTGTTATGAGTCAAGAGTGGGGTAATGGAGATGAACGTGCTGTCAGAATTTTCTTCTATCATCATGGAATACACCTTAAAAATGACCTGGAGCCATATTTAATAAAAGAAAACCCAGCAGTAAACAAACAGCTTTGGAAATCTTTTATATATAAAGTAACATACACAAAAGAAGAAAAGCGATTGAAATAGAAAGCAGAGATAGGAAGTTAAAGTTTTGGTCACACCCTATCAACTCTTCTTCTCAGCTCTCCACCACTTCCTCTGTGAGCACAGTTTGAAAACAATTGGTTAAGTGCCATCTACATATTTTAATAATTTGTGAATTATTTGTGAATTTGGAGTCAAATACCTGCTAAACTTTGCTGATCAGATAATTAGTGACAAAGACAAGACCAAAGCCTTGTCAGAGACAACTGGATCATGGATCTTAAGTATTTGAATACTCTCCAATTTTCTTCCTTCTTTTTTATTCGGATGGGTTTTTGTTGTTGTAATCCTTCTGTCTGAGCCTCCCAGCTGGCACTGTAGGGATGCACCACAATGCTTGGCCTCCAGGTTGGACAATAGCTGAATCTCACCTTCCCACATGGTCCAAACCTGCAAGCACACTTTCTTAGTAATATGTGCCACTGCAGCTGGGTTAACTTTTCTCTGTCTTACCTATCTCACTACTAAAAACTCAAATAAATTATTTTTTCTATGTCTGCCTATGCCAGAAACAGTAACAAATGCTTTCAAATATATTTTAAACTTAACCTTCATAATATCCCCTTGTAGAAGGAAGAATCATCTCAATATCTTCTTAAGGAAATTAAAAAGATTACTGAACTTTCAGTCAAGAGATGTGAATTCAATCCCAGATCCACTCCAGCAGGCTGGGAGACCTTGGCAAGGCTCATGTCTGTTCTCTCTGTCTGCAAAATGAGAGGTTGGCAGGAGGACTGCTCACATGCTTGTGCATGTGAGAATGAAGTCGGGTGAGGGGGGAGAGTAAAGGAAAGAAGCACACTGCCCATGTGGCCTGGTCATGCCATGATCCTCTTCCTCCAGTTTTCCAGCCTGTCAGCTCATGGGCACTTGCTTCTGTGCTGTATTAGGCTACCCAGACTGAGGATTCCATCAGGCTCACTGTATGGATTCTAGCTTCTCTCTCTCTTTTTTTTTTTTAGAGAGGTTTTTGCTATAGGGCACGTGCACTCACTAGAGAGACAGAGAGACAGAAAGCAAGAAATCACCCTCCAAGGGGGATGGTCATGGTGCAATCCCTTCTCCTCCATTCTCCTCTTGGGATCTTGGGCATGCACACACATGCACCCAGCATGAGTGTAAGCTGCTGGGTCCAGGACTTGAACCGTGGTCAACTTCGTGGGAGTCCAGCAACATAACCATTATGCCACCTGCTGGTCCCTGAATCCAGGTTCTCTTGAACAGCTAATTCCCTCTGCACCACAGATCTGACATGACTTCACGGTTTTCTTATTTTTTTTCTTAACTAATTTTTGGTTTCAAATAGTAATGTATCTAAAAAGTTCAAAAATAAAAGCAGTCTAATAGGATTTGAATAAAGAAGTCTTGTTCCAACTCTCCTAAACTAGTCTTTTAATTTGTAACCCCATGCTTGTAACAGACTACCTTTAGTAATTTATTTTGTATGATTAAAATGCTTGCATATGCAGAACCCAGACGATGTATTTTATCATCTCTGATTCTTATTTTCCTCGGTTTCTAGAATAAGACCTGAGGAATAAGAGATGTTTTAAAAAACTGTACCCAATAAATGAATGGTAATAATTTCCCTATTCTTCACATTATTTACATTATTTTAGTTGCACTTGATATTATTTTTTAACCTTTAAGTCATGTTTTTTAAGAAATAATGTATTACATATGAATGTAGCACATTAAAAATATTGTGACCAACAGATGGCATAATGGTTACATTGCTAGACTTCCACTTAGCTCAAATCCTAGCTAGACCCAGCAACTTACAACTCAAAGTGGACACGTGTATGCGTGCCCAAGATTCTGAGAGGAGAACGGAGGAGAAGGGATTGTAGCATGCCTGTCTCCCCTGGGGGGGTTATTTTGTGCTTTCTGTGTCTCTATTTCTCTCTGTCTCTCTGGCAAGCACACATGCTCTATAGCAGAAATTTCTCTTAACAACAACAACAAAGCAATTGGCCCAGCCTTAATAACACACTGGATGTGCTGTTAGACAGGCTAAGGCTACCTGAGAGGCCCAAGTATTACTTCTGGACCATCCTAAACTAGTGGGCATGGTGCATGCCTGTACTTATAGGTACCAGAATGTCAAGGCAGCAGCACAGTTGTAGAGTGAGACCTGTCTGACACAATACAAAAAGCAAACAAAAACTATAGACACACATACAAAAATAAAAATGTATTGCATTTAACAAAATTATTTACAGTTCTAAAATAACTTAAAATCCAATTATTCAAAAAATTAACAATGTGCTTCTAATTTTTTTTTGGCCATAAGGTGCTTGTACTTGCCAGAGAGAGACAGTGAAAGGGAAAGGGAGAAATCACCCCCCGGGGGGCTGGCTATACCACACTCACTTCTCCTCCATTTTCCTCTGGGGATTTTGGGCATGCATGCACCACACACACATGCCCAGCCTGATTTTCAAGCTACTGGGTCAGGGACTTGGATTGAGGTAGGCCCTGTCAGAGTCAGAACTTTAACTGCTATGCCACCCTCTGGTTCCTATTTATATCAAATTTTTAATAAACATGGTTTCTTTTTCAAATATTAGCAATGACACTAAGAATTTTAGAATCCTGTTTTCTACACTTACCATTTTAACATGGGTAATTTTAGATGCATCTTTCTTTCCACATCATAAACTACTTGACGGAGTTATCAGAACTCACTTTATCTTCCTCCATTCCAGATACAGAATAAATGCTAAGTAAGTACTCTCTACCGACAGGCTATGATATGAAAAAGAAGAAGTAACTCTTGGCTAAACAAGGACAATCCTTTAGTATATATTTATGCCTCTAACGGATTCTAGGTAATGTTTATGATTCCCATGCACATGTGTTTATGTCATATTGGTAGCCACTGAGAGATGGTGCATTATAATCAACTCAGTTATACCCAAGCCATCAAAATGAACACCACAAACAATGAGGAAAGTCTGAGTCTGACTCACAGAAAAGGAATGTAGAAATCCCAGTGTGATGCAATGTTTGGAATAATAGAAACAAGTGTTAAAGTGGCCACTCTGAGAAAAGCACAATTATTCACGACAAGAGTCTGGAGGATGGCTCCTCTATACAGATCTATGAGCTAAGGATTAAAACAAAAGGTGTTTGGTTTTTGGTATTATGAGAGATGCAGTGATTTGGTGGAGGCTAGTTACAGCTATTCACCCTGCAGAAAGACCAGATACTTCAGAAGCTGTTTGAGGCAGGCTAAATGCCAGCTAAAATGGAATGAGACTCTCAGCCCATTCGGATTCTTGAGCGACTCTTTCAATTCTGAAGCTATGTTAGCATCTCACAAACAAAACATCTCCCTTTCTTTGGGCTAAAGAAATCTCCCAGTCCTGCAGAAGCACTCCCAGTTTGACTTCAGAACACATTTACTATGATCTGCTAATTAATCTTGTATGCTTACTTCATCTCAAATTTAATTTAGCAACTGGTCTGTTCTCATGTATAATTCTGAAAGAGGAAAGTACATTTTGATCTATGAATCAATCAAATACCTTACTTTGAATAAATAAATGAGGTTTTTATGTTATATTTGGACTCCATATCCAGCTTAGATGCTAATATCAGGACTTCTGACAAAAACATGGGGATGTGGATATAAATAAATGTGATCATGAAAAATAGGATCGGCAACAAGAGAGTCCTGGCTAATGGTGGTTACGGTGATGGTGCGGTGGTGGTGTACGTAACAGTAGCAATCCTGGTTACGGAACTTAAAGAGCGCATTTTAGAACAGTGTTTGAGCTATTAAAAAGGCAATGGTGGAACAATAAATAAATGAGTGGGTACAATGACGAGGAGGGTGTTGAGTGTAGCAAAGACAAAAATGATCAGCACAAAAGTGATAGTGATGCCCTTGGTAGTTCACAGGATACATAATAGTAATGGATGAGAAAATTCCTTGCAAAGACAATTTTTTAAGACAAAACCCACATCTGGGGTGCCCACAATGTCATTTTCCAAGTTTGCACTTGGATATGCAATTGAGATTGTCACCCCTCATAAGAAGCTATTTGGGATTTGTAAAACTTCTAGGGGCCCTGAGGAGGCAAGGTCCCTGGGATTAGATTCGAGCATCTAACAATGAAGGTGACAGAGTAGAGATAAGTCATTTGAGAAATAGACAGGGTCTAATTCATTTCACTGTGTCCAAGTCTCCCTGTCCCAGGGGAACCCTCATCGAGAGCTTAGCAACTC